TTTTTTTCCAAATATCTTGATATTTACAGTGAAAAGCAATTATTTTTAATCAGAGTCCTTTGTGTATCTCTACAGGGAAGAGAAACTGTGTTGGCGAGTCTCTGGCCCGTACGGAGCTTTTTATCTTTATAGTATCATTGCTGCAGGATTTCACTTTTTCCTGTGCTGGAGGCCCTGACAGTATAAACCTCATTCCTGAAAACAGCAGTTTTCTTAATGTGCCTTGCAGATACCATATCATGGCCACACCTCGTTAAAAGAGATGAATTTGTTCAGACAGAGTTATAGTCTGGTTGAAGCACTCCAACAAGGATGTCTTCATCAGCTTCTTGTGAAACAGTGATTAGATGTTTATTTTACAGTTAGTTTGCTAGTACCTCACTGATGTAGAACACAAGACCATCACATGTAAATCTTTTACCTCAACACAATTGCAATTTGTGTTTTTTTGGTCATGTATTCCTTTTCTTTAGTGAGTTATTTGTTCTTGTATTATTTTGATTTTATTTTCTCTATCCAATAAAGATTACTACTGATTTTAACCAATAATTACTTTAAAAAAAAATACACACCTATCAATGTTAGATTTGTATTGTTTATTGTCATTTATGCTTAGAAATATTTAACCATATATGCTTAGAGGTGTGATCCTTAATAGTCTTCAAAGGCTTTGTGTGCATTCCAGAGTGCTCTGGCTTTCACACCCACATTCTGGGAGCATGGGAGAGGTCGTACCTTGTCTTATTGTTTTATGGTAGGATAAACGTATCTATATCTGTTTTAGGCTAAGTGCCTTTTGTTTAGATGAACTGCTGGACTTCCAGACTAGCAGGTTTAGGGAAGTCATTTATGGGGTCACACTCTGACCCCCCCCACACACACACACACACACACATACATACATACTTACACAACGCACAGGCAAGGTACTCTTTGTTTGTATGTAGACGTCATATGTTAATGAACCTATGTATATTCATGTAACCTCAATAAAAGAGCAGTGTTACGGGGGAGCGGACGAGAGCGACTGGGGTCAAGCGAAGGAACGGCGCTTGTTGTGGTTCTCTCCCTCATGCATGCATTTATTTTAAGCTCTTATTAAAATTATACAATTATTATTAATGTTAAATAATTAATTAATTATTTATGTTATTATTGTATGTCTCAAACTTGCTTTTTAAACAATAATTGCATTTCTGTTGGCAGTTATCAAAATGACTGTCTCCTGCTTTTTTATATTTAGATTTTTTTTTAGGTTTTTTTTGTTTTAAATTTATTGGACTTAAATCTTTTACAGGTGGCATATAACAATAATTCCTAACAGTCCAGACACCCAAACTGTTTGCAGTGCATGGCTAACAAGCAGAAGCGTTAGCAGGGCTCCATAAAAAAATATAACTTTACTTTAATATTGCAAACCATGCCAACCTTGGAAATATAACACTGCACAGCCGTGGATCAGTATTCTGCTTAGATAATATATTTTTCAATTTCATGCAAGATTTATGAGATATGTGGAAGCAATTACATTACATTTTAATATTCTTATGATAACTTTTATTTTAATTTATTTACATTGATCGGTATCTTACACCAAATACAAATAAAATATATGTTACCTTTGTGAATTTAAATTCTCATCTAGTAAGTATTGGCAAATTTAACTTAAATAATCCTCTGGATATGTTAACAGTGTGTAGAATAAAAATAAATTTCCCAAGGAGCTTCTTGCAATTGCACACATTTTTTTGACAAAACAACTCACCTGCGTCATTATATATAAGAAAGGCAGGTTCAGGTTGAGTGGAGTCGGGTATGGGTAGTAGGACCCCTAAGCCTTAGCCATAGGTTTGATCTTCTTGGTCAGGCACCAGGTTGTCAGATACCTCTATATACAGTGACTTGCAAAAGTATTCAGCCCCCTTGAACTTTTCCACATTTTGTCGCATTACAGCCACAAACATGAATCAATTTTATTGGAATTCCACGTGAAAGACCAACACAAAGTGGTGCACACGTGAGACGTGGAATGAAAATCATACATGATTCCAAACATTTTTTACAAATAAATAACTACAAAGTGGGGTGTGTGTAATTCAATACTTTGTAGAACCACCTTTTGCTGCAATTACATCTGCCAGTTTTTTAGGGTATGTCTCTACCAGCTTTGCACATCTACAGACTGAAATCTTTGCGCATTCTTCTTTGCAAAACAGCTCCAGCTCAGTCAGATTAGATGGACAGCGTTTGTGAACAGCAGTTTTCAGATCTTGCCACAGACTCTTGATTGGATTTAGATCTGGACTTTGACTGGGCCGTTCTAACACATGGATATGTTTCGTTTTAAACCATTCCATTGTTGCGCTGGCTTTATGTTTAGGGTCGTTGTCCTGCTGGAAGGTGAAGCTCCACACCAGTCTCAAGTCTTTTGCAGACTCCAAGAGGTTTTCTTCCAAGATTGCCCTGTATTTGGCTCCATCCATCTTCCCATCAACTCTGACCAGCTTCCCTGTCCCTGCTGAAGAGAAGCACCCCCAGAGCATGATGCTGCCACCACCATATTTGACAGTGGGGATGGTGTGTTCAGAGTGATGTGCAGTGTTAGTTTTCCGCCACACATAGAGTTTTGCATTTTGGCCAAAAAGTTCCATTTTGGTCTCATCTGACCAGAGCAGCTTCTTCCACATGTTTGCTGTGTCCCCCACATGGCTTGTGGCAAACTGCAAACGGGACTTCTTATGGTTTTCTGTTAACAATGGCTTTCTTCTTGCCACTCTTCCATAAAGGCCAACTTTGTGCAGTGCACGACTAATAGTTGTCCTATGGACAGATTCCCCCACCTGAGCTGTAGATCTCTGCTGCTCGTCCAGAGTCACCATGGGCCTCTTGGCTGCATTTCCGATCAGCGCTCTCTTTGTTCGGCCTGTGAGTTTAGGTGGACGGCCTTGTCTTGGTAGGTTTACAGTTGTGCCATACTCCTTCCATTTCTGAATGATGGCTTGAACGGTGCTCCGTGGGATGTTCAAATCTTGGGAAATCTTTTTGTAGCCTAAGCCTGCTTTAAATTTCTCAATAACTTTATCTATCTATCTATCTATATTTGTTCGTGTTTTGGAGTTTGTAATTGCTTTGTCTCTAGGTGCCACCTTAAATATTAAACTTTTATTTATTCACTCCACATAAAATTTAATAAATAAATTATAAAATTCAAAAACCAATTATTTACATTTCAGTTTTTAACTATTTAAATTTTCAGCTTTTTCCTTTTAAACACTGCAAACCACAATACAATCAAATATAAATTAAAATATGCAAAACAAAATGAAGATGCACATTCTCTGTCATTTAGGCCTGGGATGATTTTTTGGGAGTGTTTTCCTGCTTGGAATTGCATAGGATTCACTGCATGAATAAACTTCCTGAATCCTTTATCATCCGCAACTGAAAATAGTTGTGGACGCATTCTGGGCGATGCGATGGGCAAGGCCACGAGTACTCGGACTGTGCTTATTGAACACAATATGGATAAGATCTTGGAGAAGCTCAAGACTCTGCAACAGGGAATCGATAGGTCTGGGGACCAGTGATGGACATTAGATCAGCTGCGAAATTGGATGCAGTTTGTTTGCACTAAACCTAACCCAAACAACCATTATCTTCATGTGGCTGCCCGGGGCCAGCCAGAAGGCTCCAAGGGCGAATGGCTCCAAGGCTGAATGGCTGGCTGGCACAACAATTTCTCCCAGATTACAAGACTGTGTTTTGACTCTCTGACCCTATCCTTCAAGGCTCAAGGCCACCTGCATCGGCTGGAGGACTGTTGACTTTTTGCTTAACCAGGTGAAAGGACGGTCTCTCTCAGTTGAACACGGGACACACACACACATGCATACATATGCATGTGCACTGAAACAGACACAAACTCACCCCCCTCCCTGCTTCCAAACACTTGCGATGCTTACTTCCACCCGATGAAGACGATGGGTCTGCGTCCCGCACTGGAGAATAGCTGCAGGATAGGCTGTTGTATACACAGGTTCACTCCATGAAATTAAATTCCTTGCCAGTGCTAGTACATCAACCTTCAGAAAACCGAGAAGCCTATTACATATTACTTGTGAACAAGAGCCCAAGATATTTAAACTCTTCCACTTGGCTGTAATGCATCCCTGACTTGGAGGGATTCCTTCTGAACGCAATAGTTTCAAACTTGAAGGTGTTTATTCTCAGAAAGTTATAAGGAGTAAAACAAAGACAGAGCTATATATACACAGGGGCCTGGGGAATAGGGATAAGATGGGAACATGTGGAACTAGTCACTGAT